GAAATTCCCTTCGGAGTTCGGAACGTTCTCCGGCGAGAACGGAGAACGTTCACATCGGGAATCGAGGAAGACCCGCAGAACACGTTAGAATGCAAGATCGCGCGAAAGTGCAAAAATAAAAAAGGAGTGGGAAGGAAAGAAATCGGGAGGAGAGGGGGACGCTTCTCCGAGAACAATGCCTCCTGCGGTCCTTTCTCTCATCCCTTTTTTTTTTCTTACCTGCTGCTCTAGACCTGATCCATTCTGGTTGGCTGCATTACTCATATTACTCCGCCTCGGTGCGTAGTTTTCGCAGCTCTGTCGCTTGAAGCCCTTTTAGCTTTAGCTCGTCTTCTTTCTTTCTCTCTCTCTCTCGCTCTTTCTCCTTTTCTCTCTCTCTCTCTCTCTCTCCCTCTCACACACACACACTCAAGTCGAAAAAATTCCCAACGCGTCCCAACGCGCTATATCTGTCTCTCTCTTTCTCGTTTTCTCGCCCTCGGTCTCTATGTCGTCTCGTGGACTGATATATAACGCCTCGCCAGGCGATAGATTCGCTATCCTCACGATTCGGCCCGATTCTTTATCAGTTTATCGAAAAAACGGCGCGTGTCGGTTAAGTCTCTCGTTCAACACGATACGAAGGAATCCCAGAGGCAACTGGCGTGATTGCTAAGAAAGCGCGAGAGGCCCCTGGCCGCACTCGACGTTGACGCAACAAAAATGGCCGAGAGACCGAACTGCCAAAATGGTGACGGCACGATTTCCGCCGGATGTCAGGGGCGACGAAACGCGGCGTGTTCGGGAAGAGGAGCCCTCTCATCGCTAAAAATAAAAAAAAATACTTCGCGCGAAAATTCGGAAATTTGTTAGGATTATTATTATACGAAACGTAAATCGATTGAAAACACGGATGGTAATTTTATATTCAAGTTATCGCTCAGTCTCAATTTGAATTTTGCAAACAAATACTTTTATTGTTGTACAGAGATTGGAACTTTTTTGATGCAGATAAGAATGCTACTAATATCAATATAAGTCACGAGTCTCTGTCTCAATAGATATATGTATTAATCTCTTCAAAATTAAATTGTTTGTCACCGTTAACTCAATAAACTCAATTTACTGTACTATATGTAATGTAAACATTGACTTTACTAAAATTAACATTTCGACTGTGACGTATGTACACACACATCCTTGATGGAAAAATTTCGCTGAAATTATTTTACGTTTTGGAACATTTTTCAGCAAAATTTCAGTTTAATTTCAGTGATTTTTAATTGAAAAATTCATTTTCAGCAAAATTTTAGGAAAATTTCAGAGAAATTTCAGCGATTTTTCAGTACGTTAGCTGAAAAATTTACTTTCAGTCAGCAATTTCGCTGAAATGTTCCAAAACATAGAATACTTTCAGCGAAATCTTTTCAGCAGGGATATATGAACTAAATTTCAAAGTAGAACTAAAGATACCTACTTATTTCTATCACTACTATAAAATGGATTTTAGTTTCAGTATTAAATTACAACAAAAACAATTCTTATAACGATTATAATACAAAAAATTCGACAAAAAGATTTGTAGCTCTAAAGATACAAACAAGACTCATCTTTCAGTTAAATTCTAAACAAAATTATGCCATCCAATAAAATGTAAGTGCAGGAAACCACAGCTTTGTCTCTCCCTTCGTTTCAACTTCGATCTTCAGTTCAACTGTCCAAAATACCTCGTTAGAGTTCACAGAATTTGTTTGAGTATATAACAAATGCAAGTTTGTATATTTTCCTTTATTATACAACATGTTCCCAAATATCAGCGTTTAATCTAATCGTCCTTCTTCGTGTCGGTCTTGCCTCCTCTAATTCTACCAGTACGACGAGCAGCAATGAGACCGATCTTACGACCAGCGCTGGTGCCACGCTTGACGGTGGACGCTTTACCGATGTGTTGATGATTACCACCACCGTGAGGATGCTCCACGGGATTCATGGCAACACCACGAACCTGCAAAAATTGAAAGTGTCTCAAATACGGCAAAAACAAAAATATACAATAAGCACGACATAAAAGAGCTTTGCGTTAACTCAGTTAAAAAAAAAAAAATTTTTCCACATGAATTTCTTCAGGTTTCAAATGTCTTAATTACCATCATTGAAAAAATTTAATATTCTGTCATTATAAAGCATTATGAAACACAAAGGATATACCTTAGGCCAGCAATTCCTCTTCGCCTTGTACTTGTGGTAAGCTCTACCAGCTTTAAGTATAGGCTTATCTATACGTCCACCGCCTGCGACGATTCCAACCATTGCTCTGTTGTTGGAAGGAATGACTTTCTTTGCGCCAGAAGGTAACTTAACTCTCGTTTTCTTGGTATCAGGATTGTGTGTTATGACTGTGGCATAATTACCAGAAGCTCTAGCCAATCGACCTCTGTCGCCAGTCTTCTCCTCCAAGTTACAGACAATCGTACCTTCCGGCATCATGCCGACTGGCATCACATTTCCAATCTGGAGATTGGCTGAAAGAGTTAAAAACGTCATATATTTTTATTATTAATAAAAATTAATATGTAATAAGTCGAATGCTTATAAATGACGATAGTTACTTTAGATAAAGCATCAACTTTATCGTTTAATATTATTCATTTAGAAATTTTATTGTACACACCTTTCTTTCCACAATACAAAAATTGGCCGGTGTACATTCCCTCAGGCGCGATAAATAATTCTTTACGTGTTTTGAACTTGTAAGGGTCACGGAAATGCACCACAGCTAACGGCGCTCCACGACCAGGATCATGGATAATATCCTAGACAAAAAAAGAAATACCTCTTAAATAATCTGTTAAAATGATTAAAAATACCTTTGTAACATGAAAAATCTTCAGAAAGAGCCTCTAATTTAACGTCATCTAATCAATCAGACATAGGTATGTTGGATATCATCACGAATATAAGATCTAAATCGAAGAATTCAAAACAAACTCGAATAAATCGAGCTGAACTCTACAATTGTGTCAATTGGAACAGTGTCCCGAATAAAATAGGTTGTTACAAACCTTTACGACACCCTTGATGAATCCATGCCTTTCAGAGAAGTCTAAAGATCGCAGCTTCGGTGCTCCCTTTCTCCTTTTGGTATGGGATCGAAAGACGGATCCCGCACCTTTACGCTGCGCACGAATTACTCTACCCATGGCTCAAAACCTGAAAAGAAACCACGTTAACTATCATGCATCTAGCCATGATGACACTCGCAACATCACGCTCGTCACGTTGTGGATTTCGTTGGCGCATCTTAACCTCACGATGCCGCTCGAGATACGAGTATGTTATCATTTCACGACTCGCGAAAATATTAAGTGCATTTTACGCACGTAAAACAGAGAACACGTAATCGAGAGTTCCTTTCAACAGATGCATCTCGAACGTGGTAGATCGACGCGGATAACCCACGCCAACGAAATCCTATACAAGTACCGAAGGAGCCGACATGAAAGAAAGGAAAGACGGAAGTTGACGGAAGTTCCCAGTGATACTAATTGAAATTTGGAGGTTATTACAGTGCTTCGTTTGATCACGTAGTCAGCCCGCCAAAATGGCGTTCAATTCAAACTTATTGCCCGTAGCATATCTGATTAATTATATTTTACACATATTTTTGAATTTCGTTTTTTAATAAATAAGATGAACAAAGTAAATTATGCGACAGTTGATAGCTGCAAATAATTATTTAAGTTACCTCTGAAAAGAAATTTTCTTACCAGAAAAGATTTGATGTCAAATTTGATGTTAAATTTAATCGTTGACAAAAGTCCCCCAAATTCGAAATATTTGCATAACTGCGCCAAACGTATAGTAAATCTAGTGATAACTTATATGAATGGTAGATAATACAATATATATTTATTTTTAAAAAGTTATTTTTCACTTTTTCAATATTTTATTAACTTTATTTGTCAATTTTCAACTTTCTATAACAAAACATTATTTACCAGTGCAAAATGGAAAAAGTAATTGGAATATGGTTAAAAAAGATAAATATTCATTATTTAAACAATATAAATATATTATTATAGCAGAATATGGCAGAATATGCCATATTGAGCCATACATACATACCGCAAAATTGTTATGAATAATAATTTCTCTGAAACCGTGTTGCAAAAATTAATCTAATTTTGCAAAAAGTTACAGTAATTTAGGATCTATACGTATAAAACAAATTAAATTTTTGGTACTATTTCTTTAATACTTTTATTACTAATTACATTCGACAAAGTTGCGTTTCCCGTAAGAAAACGTCTTTTATAGAACTTTAATACTAATACTGACCAATTAATCACTTATTTTCACACACACAGTATTAAAAATACTATTAATAATATTTTTAATACTTAAAATAAGTTATTAATTGGCCAATACTAGTATCAAATTTTTATAATCATAATTAAAATAATAATTACTCTAACGGTTTAGTGAATTTATTTGAAATTTTTTTTAGTATATTAAAAAAGGAAGTTTCCCGAAGTTTCATCAATTTGGTACTATTTTTGGAATAGCTCAAATACATCCTTAATTATTACTTTATATTTAATTATATATTTCATTATATACGAAACACGATGTTTTTTATTGTTGTAGTCTTTATTATCAGATTACGTATTATATACATATTATTCTATATTATAAATATTGTAAAATTTTATTGTCTCTACATAAAGTTTTATTGTAGCCTTTAAAAAGATTTTATTGAAAAGAATAATTTGCAATTTTATATCGTTATAATTATCCTCTTTCTAATAAAAATTAAATTTTAAATAACTTTACGAAACATTATCTATAAATTATTTTAATTAGATTGTATCGTTTATAATTTATTATAATTATTTATGAAATAATTTTTTAATAATAAAGATTCCATACAATAAAGAATGTCGACGTGCATCCCCACTAGCTCGTTCACATCAATGCGTCACGAGAGACGTGAATGATAATTCTTTTATTTCAACGCACGTATTCGAAATGGATGGACGCATTGTTTCGCTCATCATCCTTTTACTTTGCTTATTAACAAATGCCAGGGACGCAAATGTGATTAGACGAAAAAGAATTGTCGGCGGTACACCGGCCGTGCAGCCTCCCGAGGACGACCCAGTAGTTTTTGTGAATAAAAACGATCGACACGCGCGTATTACCGGCATCCGCGATCCTGACAAGGGATTCTATGTTTTTCGTGGAATCAGATTTGGACAGCCACCAACCGGTCGAGCTAGATTCCAGGTAATCTACATTAAATATAAAAATAATCAATATATTATAAATATATCACACTATAATATATGAAAAATCTTTAAACATTTTTTTTAACTCTTATCTGTATGTATTATATGTGTAATAAAATATTAATGACACAATTGATTTAAATTTTAAACGATTCAATCGATATTTTATTGGATCTATAAGAAATTGGATTAAAGGATTTAATAACACGATTTATTGGATTAATATTTTTTAATATGTAACACTTGCGAATGCATGCGTGACTAAGTTAAGAACTTAATTAAACCGTTATGTGAACTGTGGCATTAGGAAACCGTCATAATATATGCGATAATTAAATTCATTGACCTATGGAGTAAACGTGTACGTCGCTTTAACGTGCGATCTCGAATAATAATAGCAGTCTTCCACGTAGACACAAAAGACCGTGTTCTTTTTGTGGTATTTTTTACGCTATTATTAATCGATAACGCGATCGGGCAGAACGGAACATTATTTTATCTCTCAGTATATCCTGTCACAAAGGCTCAATTTAATGAACTTGATACGTTATCAATTTTGCCCAAAAAATAAAAGGAAGCGTCGAAAAAAGCTTATTGCGGAAAACAATATTATTTAATATTAATTAATTCTATAATTTGGCATATTAATCAAACATATATAACTAATTATTCATTGAAATATGTTAATTAAACATAACTACATATTTTTAGATACATATTTCTTCTATATATTCATACAAAAATGCAAATTAATTATTTAAAACGAACATTAGACTTTTTCTTATGCTTTAAGACTTCATGAAAAAATAATAGAACTATTATTATTAAATTAATATTTTCATTTTTAATAAGAAAATAAATTTTTCAGCGAGCTTCGCCTATGTATCTCGAAGGAGAATACAACGCCACTACGTGGGGACCTCCTTGTCCTCAGCCCAGCCACAATGAAACCAATAAAATTATCGGAAGCGAAGATTGCCTCTTTCTGAACATCTTCACCCCATCGCTTCCAGATTCTAGTGGCGGTTATCCTGTGCTGGTATGGATCCACGGGGGTGGTTTTAGAAGAGGTACGGCGTGTCAATACGAAATGAGACACCTGATTAAGAAGAATTTGATTGTCGTATCTATCCAGTACAGATTGGGAACGCTAGGTAATTAAAACACGCTGAAGAAAAGATATAACTGAGGCAATATACATATCTAAAAAACATCATAAAGACGTATTTTGAGATATACATGTCTAAAAGATATTCAAAAGATATAAAGATATCTTCTAAACAATGCGTATTATCTAGAATCTTCTTAAGAATGTTAATTTTGTATGGCAAGGAAAGAAAATGATATTACCGAATCTCTGTTTCAGGATTTTTAAGCACAGGTACACAGGAAATGCCGGGAAACAACGGTATGTTCGACATGGTGCTAGCCATCGACTGGGTGAAAAATTACATACATTTCTTCGGTGGTGATCCAAACAAGGTCACAGCCTTCGGTCACGGTACTGGCGCCAGTTCCGCTATGATGCTGTCCTTATCAAAATTCTGCGAAAGTAAGGATATGACCTACCACGCTGCAAGTAAACATATCTTTACATTCTTATATTTTTGTAGATTACTTCCATGGTTTAATCGCGATGTCCGGGACCATTTTATCTCACTTCGCTGTCGACAAGGATCCTTCTAAAACCGCCAGACACATAGCTCAGAAAAACGGTTGTCCAACAAACGATACTCGCAGAATGGTGGACTGCCTGCGAGAATTGCCAGTCGAAAAATTGATCAGCACCGATTCCGAGTTGGAGAACACCCGTACAACTGTCCGAGGTTTCGTCTCTGGCTTAGCCAGTCTGCTTGGACCTGGTCCTGTTATAGAAGGTTCCAACGATGGGAGGTAAAATAAATTTATCGAAACCAAATTATTAAAATAAGCCCTTTTTAAATCAAACTTACTATCGATCGTCTTTAAGATCACTTCCGAATTTCATGACCGCATCACCAGAAGATTCTTTAAGGCTTGGCAATTTTCCGTCTATACCACTATTAACGGGAGTTATGAAGGATGAAACAGGAGGTGCAATTTTCGGTCAATACAAAGACGAAGTGCAAAACAAACTGAGCACGGTTCCGGATTATTTGACCAATGATTTCATACCATATTTGCAAGGGACTATCCCAAATATGCAAAACGGATCGTGGTTCGTCCCGCAAGCTTTCCGCGGCTACCTTAACATATTCCAAGGTGATGGCACACCGAATAACGTTGGGAAAGTTGCGGAAGCTTTGGGCGATTCACTCTACAATGCTCCCGCATTTTTGACCGTTGACTACTGGTCTAAAAGAGCAAATACGTTTTTATATACTTTTGATCACAAGGGAAAAAGAAGTTATGGCAAAGACTTTCTCACTGGATTGCCAATCGTCGATGCCAAGCGGTCCTTGGATGGTATAATTTATAATAATTGATAAAATATATCACGTTAAATTCTTTTTACATAATGTTGATATAATTAATAACCTTGTAGGTAATTTAAATCACGGCGATGATCTAGGATTCATCTTTAATAGAAACACAATTACTGGCGAAAAAGTGAGCGATGGCAGAGAGCTTGACAAAGCAGATGAACGCGTAACTGATATTTTTACAGATATGATAGCAAATTTTGCGAGAAGTGGCACGCTTAGTACACCTACTACAAATGTACGTTCTAATGACAGCACTTGGGTGCCAGACATAATTCCAAGATTCTCAGATGACACAAATTCCTTTGTCAGCATCACGACAGCCCCAAAAATCATGGATAATTTTAGGTAACGTCGCGAAAGATTATGTTAAATATTATTCTCGAAGTACATGATATATTATTAAAATATTCACCATTGTTAACTCTAGATACTGCGAAATGGGATTGTGGACAGCTGTACCAGAACGATTACAATCACCCACATGCAGTTTATACAAAGTACCTCTTCAATTAATACAACAAGGTGCCAAAGAAACAATATCTATAATTCAAAAACCTATCGACACACTTAACACATTTGTTCCTAAGTCTGGCAATACCGCAGACAAATCGACAGATCAGAATACTGAAAAACCGAAAGAAGATACAACGAAACAAAAAACGAATAACAGATTATTACCGCAAATACCTATACCGCAGATACCATTTGGCGGTTGAATTATTCACAACACATGTTTATGCATATTTTTTTTATTATAAAAATATATATGAAATAAAATCATCTAATCATTTGATTTTACCTCGTCGTGAAACAAACTTAAAGAGTTTAGTACCTCATCGTCCATCTCTTCCCATTCATTCATATTATCTTGAGATGTTTTTTTTTGTATTTTTTCATTGATTTTAGGACTTTTTTCTACTTTTTTGTCTCTTTTATCAATATACGATTTCGAATCTTTAGATTGCTCATGTTGTTCTTGTTCTTTTGTAATAATTTCTGTATCTAATTCACATTCCAATCTACTTTCAGTAGTAGCATTTGGAATTGTATCAATATGCAGCTGATTTTGTTTCTTGTTTTGTGTTTCTTGTTCTTCTAATTTATTTTCAATCTGAATTGGATCGACATGAATTACATTCAGTCGACATGAATTATCATCTGCTTGAGATTTATTTATATCCATGCCATTATTCTCTTCTGTTAATTCTGTAACATTTCCATCCTGTATTATTTCAATCGCAACTATTCTGGGCCGTTTATGTATGGATGTATCTGCATCATGAAAAATCTCTTCTTCAGCCCTTCTTTTATCTGATGTGCTAGTAGTAGCTTCTTCTATTTCATTGCTAGTAGTAGCTTCTTCTATTCCATTGTTAGTAATAGCGTCTTCTATTTGAGTTTCAGAAATAAGTTCATCAGATTCTCTAGAAATTAATATATATATATATATTTCTGTAATCTATTTAATATATAAAGATCTTATAGCTTTTACGTATAATATAAACTCATATATATACATATATAAATTTAAAATATAAACTTAAATAAAGTTTAAAACTAAACACTTACTGTTGCCGAGGTAACTGTAATGTAGGTGCAGTAGGATGTATAATTTTTTCCAACTCGGCTAATGTGAGTTTTGCTTCTTGAACAATACTTAAATCAATATCATAAGCTGCCATATGCGATATTTCTAGACAATATTGAATGGGAAATGCTAATGCAACATGTGGATTCATTTGTAAAGCTTTTAATACTTTAAATAATTCCAAGCGGCATACGTTATAATCTTTATAAAACTTCTGTTCAGCAGCACCGAGATAAATTTTGTACAATAAAGGTATCACGGTATTCTGCACGCTCTAAAAGAAATATTCAGGAAAGTTGTGGAAATGCATTATTACAACACAGCACACTTAATGAATTTACCTTGTAAAATGTTTGTTTCAGCAGAACGCTACCACTGTAAAGCATATTTTGCAAAACGATAAGAGCCTCTCTACATAAATCTGCATCTAGACATCTTTGTTTAGTAGAATTTTCTCCGTTATTCAATATTGCACTATTTTCATACTGACTACGTTTAAAACGTTTTATCGCCCGTTTAGATAAATGTTTTGGTTGCACCTATAATAGAAAAATAGTCTTTATAAAATAAAAAATTATAATTATTAAATTTATAATATAAGCATCATTTAATTGATAATTATTTGAACTTACAGATAATAATATGCACTCTCGTTCTGGTGTTACATCCTTTAATATGCCTGTAACAAATTCATTTCCAATTGTCTCTATTCCTGACGATGCACTCATATTAATTAGCCATGAGCAGAGACATTTATACGTATGTAGCCTGACATTTTTAAAAGGTTTACTATCACTAAGTGTCATTTGATTTTCTGAAATAACACTTGTCCATTGCAATGTTTGTTGGAATAACTGTAATATGGTTGCCCCATACGATACTAGTTCCTGAGCAAATCTGAAACATACATTTACGTTACAAATTATTTGATCTATAATTGTCGCGCGCGCGCGAATCAAATGTATATTTTAGAAGAATATATAAACACATATATACCCATTTATAAATGCATCTAAAACTGTGAGTAAACTAATATGCAATTTTGGTAAAATAATATATAGCATCTGTTCCTTGAACGAAGTTTTATTCATTAAATTTAATGGAGTTATCGCCAATCCTCGACATAAAACTCCTAGAATATCATGAGGCAGAACAGAATTTCTTGCTTCGTATCCACTGCAATTTTAAATTAAATATATTTCAAGATCGTGAAGAATGGATGTTGATATTATTTAATATATGAAACTTATTAGTACCGCAACATTGAGGAGAGATAAATGCATAGATTTGCGAATCTCTGTTTCTGCCCGTTATAGTACTGTACTACATCTTTATTAGAAATAGGTGGTAATTCTAATTGATCCCAGATATCTACACTTTCCAGCTCTATTAATCCAGAGAACAATTCATCCATTATAGCATGCAAGTTATTACAAAGCAACACTTCATTATATGTTGTCGCAGTGTAAATGGATTTAGATGGTGGTGGTTTAAATGAGCGCTCTGTCGCTTTGGATAGAAGAACATAGCATCTTGCACCAGCATTAACCAAATTTTCTTGCATAGAATCAATTTGTAATAATATCATTTTCATTATCAGTTCCTGAAAATGTTAAAATAATTTCTCATTGTTACATTTCCTTGACTTGCAATGATGATTAAAATTGACTTTATTATGATGATTAAAATTAATATAAAACATTGATTAAATCAATATAAAACATTGAATTAATAAGATATAAAGTTATTCATTCTGTTACCTGAAACCTTTCACAAACTTCAGAATAATGATAAAGAAGAACAGCCAATAAATAATAAATTGCTCCACATTTTGCATCTGGATTCAATGCACTAAGAACATTTATAAGCTGTTTGACGTGTTGCATAGAGATCTGTTTGTGCAAATCTGGAATCTCTTTGCAGTGCTTAACTAAAACTCCCAATACTTTACATGCCAGTATCAAATCTTGTGTGCTGCTATGTGCATTTTCTAATACTTTAGTAGCATTGACTATCCAAAATAAACCGTATTTTGCAAAAGTATCTTTGGAACATGTAGGCAAAATTCTGTCCAAGATAGGTAGAAAATCACATCCCGTTTGATTTATACGAGAATTAACACTTTTTACAAAAGCATTTTGCACAGTGTTGACCTGAAATGTAAGCATAAGTGATACATTACATAAAGTGTTTATAAAGAACATAAAGAATACTTTAGTGACACAGGTCGATACAAACGTTGTTCTACCTTTCTTTGCATTTCATGAGTAACAAAAAACAGAATAATGTTTGTGCCGATTTATGTCATCAAATAAAAAACACCCAAAAAGAATTTAGGTCCAATTGCATCAACATTACTACGACTTTGAGCAAGGCTTAAATCTCTTCCTATCTCTCCCTCTCTTTTTAAAGAGAGAAAGTAAGAATTTTAAGTATCGCTTATTTTTAGAATAAAACGAAATAGAGTAAAATAATTAGAAATAAAAATATAAATGTAAAAAAAAACAAATATATAAATATCTGCAAAAATGGGCCACTAGAATTTATAGTAATCCGTTTAATCAAAATCAAAGTTTAAAAAAGATCAAAGTAATGTTAATGCAATCGAGAGTTAAAAAGATAAATTTATTTCGTACCTCCTGGCTATCAAACGGCACGTCGTTGTTATCAATAACCAAATCGTGCACCAACGATTCGAATTCCTTCGAATTCACGTCAAAGGAATTCACTAATCTGATTATCGATGTCATTATTATTTTTTATTACCACTGTTTCATTTAAAAAGCTTAAAATTTGCGGTTCACGTGCTTCTTTTCTCGTGGGTTCTCCAAAGTGCACAAATAGCTCTTTCTTTTGTACTGGTAAAATTTGAGATACCTACGATCTGTTCTTTTAGGTTGTAGAGAACATTATTTTTATTGGGTAATTTCTTTAAAATTATTCTTTCTATCTTTTTATGAATAACCGCAAAAATCTTGACTTTTGAGGTTATGTACACACTCGAGTTTCTCACGTGAAAGAAAAGAAATGAAAATTGAAATGAAATCAAATGAAATCCGTTTAGTGGCGCCTCTACGTGCAAGTGCATTGAACTATGTAGCAACAGATATTTTCGGTGGGTAACTTAAACAAGCATGAGATAAAGGTTATTATCAGAGCAGAGAGAAATCTATAAATATCTATTTTTTTGTTGCGGTACTCCTGATGGAAATAAGTCGCTGAAATCTCTATTAATTTGATACATTTCTTTCAGCGATTTGATCAACGATTAAACGGATTACTATAAATTCTAATGGCCCTTTTTTGCAGATATTTTTATATTTATCTTTCTACATTTTTAGTTTTATTTCTAATTTATTTTACTCTACTATTTCGATTTATTCTAAAAATAAAAGAGTTATGTAAATTTATTATTTTAAATAACTACACTTCTGACTTATTTCTTATTTAATATTTTAAATAATTAAGTTTCCGGAACCTATTTTATATTTTTTATTTTAAAGAAATCGTATCAGTTTTTTACCGATTCCTACGATTTTATATTTTAAATGACATGTTGGCATTATACGTAAGTTTAAAGAATTTTTGAAACGCAGAATAATTTGCGCATCAATAGTAGTGTCATAAATTAATTTTTTAGCTGAAAAATTAAATAATGATTAACAATTAATACTTTTAACCAAAGCTGTATTTATAGCGCGAATTGTTTTGCAATATTAAGAAAATTTGCGTATATAATCTTTATATAAAGGATGTATAGAATATTATATATGAACCTTTATTTAAATATAAATCATTAAAAAGAATAATGAAAATTAAGACATAATATATTGGAATATCAAAAATATCTCCCCGATAAAAAATTTGTTTATATATTAATATGTATAAATATGTATAAACATACATAAACACGCATAAATATTCATAATCATAAATAATTATACATGAAATATGTCCATACATCTTTCTTTCTTTTGTAAAATTACTTTTTAGTGTACTAAAAATAATAATAATATTGAGAAAACATCAAAAACAGTTAATGGGATTATTTTCGCATTGTTTGTTTTAGAAAAAATCAAGTTTGGAAAAATGTAAAAAAATTTACTCATACATAACTATGTATAATTTTACATGCAACTATATATGAGCAATTCTTTTACATTTTTCCAAACTTGATTTTTTCTAAAACAAACAACACGAAAAATTTTCTTTTAATTATTTTTGATGTTTTCTCATTATTATTATTATTTTTAATACAAAAAATAATTTTACAAACTAAAGAAGGATGTATAAACATGTTTGGACATAATTATATATGTTATGAATATTTTTATATTTTTATATATGTTTATGAATATGTTTATGTATGTTTATACATATTTATATATATTTATGCATAAAAAATTTTTTACCGGGCCACACGCAAATAATTATTAATTACCAGGGTTGGGTAAGTTAACTTTTTTTTTTAACTAAGTTAAGTTAAAGTTAACAGCCTTGAAAATTTATCTTAACTAAGATACAAGTTAATCCATAGTGAAATTAATTTAATTAAAAGTTAAGTTAATAAAAAAAATAATTGAAAAGTTAAATTTGATCCGAACGAACAACCAAAAAAAAGGAAAAGAAAAGGTTTCGCCATTTTACATAACTTTTCGTATTTTTCCTTTCTCACAGCATATTTATTAAAGAATCTGGTTATTTTTGTTCATAAATAACAATTATACAATACAAAATTACTAAATTATATACTCATTATCCTCTCGCATTGTGTCTGAGGATTAACTTAAAGAAAATCAAATTAAAAGTTAATAGTTACCGATAAAATGTAACTAAATTAAATTAAAAAGTTAAGAGTCTGAAATGTAAGTTAAATTAAAATTAATTAACTTTTTAACTTAACTTTTATCTTTTTAATTTGGCACTACCCAATTCTTCTAATTACGTTTAAAAGAACCGCGCAAGTAATATAGGATTGAACGGATCAGAGATGCCACAAAGCAAAGCGCAAAATGTACGACGATACCCGTTTATCAAAATCGTGTAAAATACGAATAATTGAATAAACCAGGAATATTTTTCATACGCAATAATTAGGGGTATCCAAACGGCGCGCGGCGAATAGCAAGGGGTGGGGAAGGCACGCTCCCTCACAGTTTTCGTCGCCGCGCGCAGCGAATAGCGAAGGGGGAGCGCAACGCGGTGGTTGACTACGTCATCACTTTGGCATTCGCTCGGCGACCTCGGAGGGAGATGGATGTGTAGTACCAACAGCTCCGGGTGTCGCATTAATCTACGAAAATTAAATATCTACGAACGCTAATCGATCAATGTTCATAATTTGCGACCCGTGAAGTTATACTATCACAACTCGAAATAGACGATAGTTTAGAAATTCCGAATTGTCACGTTTAGACCGGTACTTGTCCTCTTTAACGGTCATGAGTGATAGCACGTCGATGGCTTTGCATATCACTCTATTTTTGGATCGAAAGCATACGAAATGCATAAATTTAGATTTATTATTGAATTATCGGATTACGATTCAAAAGTAACAAAAAGCTAAAATGCGTCAATCTTTTGTTAAAAATATTGCGTACATTGCGCGGATTTCGTGTAACAGAAAGTTATTACAAACTAATCACTTATTGTAACACAATTTAAAATATCTAAGATATAGATGAGTTGTACGTGTGTGCGTAACGAATACAAGAAATAAAACAAAGATCGCACAATAAACCCTATTCATTGGAGAATATTAAAAATGTACCTAATTATTAAAAACTGCGATAAGTTCATGCGATTTTTTCATCTTTTAATCATTCGATGTATTCAACCCGCTTTTTTTAATAATTATATAATTATATAATTATGCCAATTTTATAAATTATAAAAATAAATAAATAAGTTATAAAACATTATACAATTATACATATAAATGTTTAATTATTTATATTATATATTTAAATTATATGTATTCATAGTAAATTCACCTAGAAAACACAGACGGCATTGATTTTTAATCACAGACTTCTATAATTAATTAGACTCACTTCGGCTGTTAAACAGAGATAATACAAGTGGTGTTAGCTGTGCCAGGTTCATATTGTACCAATTTTTGATTCAAGTACCTATCAGAATATTGTATTATCACAGCATCAGATTGGATGTGGTCACAAAATAAATTGGGATAATATTCAGGTATTAGATATAGAATCGTTTTTTCAAAAAAGAATCGTCGGAAATGATTTTTGTTAAAAAACAAATTCATGGTCTGAACAGAGTAGAAAATTACCAGAGATATACTTTCCGTTGCTTAGCATAACTTCCCCTACATAATACCATTTTACCCTCTCCTTCGATACATGTTGGGTATATAAAGCTGTGTATCATAATGAGAATTCGGCAGAATATTTTAACGAGTTCTTTATTACAACAAATCATCCACTTTCAATATTAATCCTCATAAGTTGATTGGAACACAGGTACTAATTTTTATAATTTATAACTCGCGAAACAATTTTATTGAATTAATCAAAAAATGTGATCATTAGAATCTGGAAATTTTGCGTTCAATTAACAACGAGTTACGAACATTTGGACTATCGAAAAAATTATAATAAAAGACGAATTTCTTTGAATATTATTTGAAACTCTTTGGACTAACAATATAAAGAAAAAGGAAAAACAATTTTAGTTAACGAGTGTTATTGCGTAATAATTAGACATCTTAAGAGATGAATAAACTCAAATTAGTCGTACGTTTTTGTGTGAAAAAAATTTTTATGAAATTCGTATATACTGAAGATGGCCTAATTTAAGGCCGAAACGTCTATGTAATATTTTTATAATTCGATTATATGTTTTGGAATCAAATATGAACTAATCGCTAAGAATATCTTGCGTTCGTGGTGTATGCCCTTTATCTTTTCGTTTTCAAATTTAGACCACGTATGTATTGACATTTATTGTCTATCAGAACATGTTAAGATAAAAAAATAGGATGCTAAATGAAAATATAATATATACGCGTAGCTGTCTGTGTGGTTACAGATTATAGGGATCTTTAGTTAAATAGTTGTAATATTTAGTATTATTACGTAAAATTATAACGAATAACATTTAAATAACACTATGTGTTTTTAATTTGATATAATAATATTTCTTGCGTTGTATAAAGATTATGTGTCAATTACAATGTTTCAACAATATCAAATTTTAAAACAGTCTTAAATTATTTATTTTAATAAACACTATTTTATTGGATACACACACATTTTAATTTTTGGTAATATTTTAATACAAATAACAATATTTTATAAGCAACAAAAGTTACACTTTCCTACATATCATTTTTATAAAGTATCTTACGAACAATGATAAAGTAAATATATTTTACTGCTTCAAAAAAATAAACTTCTGTTGAAAACGTTTGAAAATGATAATTTTAAATATGTTTAATTCAGCTATTAGGTACGTTATACATATTCTTTAACAAATACCTTTCTGTTAAAAGTTGAAAGCTGTTTTTACAACTCCATTATTTAAAACATAGTTGAGTGTATACTTACTGCAAATAAAGTATTATTCCTGATAACACACGTAGGTTTCATACATGTTTTCTAAACGTATCCAATGTTTTGATCATTTCTTAAACATTTTTTATTTAAAAAAATGTTTTCCTTAACGTTTTTCGAGTGGACGTTTTAATCAATCAAAAATATTTTCAAGAGCAAGTGAAATATTTTGAAGAAATAACATTTGTGAAAAGTTTCTTACACGAATATGTGCTACCTGGAATATTTTTACAAACTTACTCTATGTATTAAAATTGTTCTATTAAGATACAATTCTGATTGCTAATTTGTATATTTGTTACAATTGTAACGAACAAAATATGGATGTTAATAATATGTTTCCGATTACTGTGATCTTATTCCTTCGAGAAATCACAGCAGACTAACATCAACGATGACGGATTACATTATAAATATAAAATGTTA